CTCGCACTCTGTTTCTCTCTCAAAAATAAACAAACATTAAAAAAAAAAAAAAAAAAGATGGTATCTGCCAGGGGCACCTAGGTGGCTCAGTCAGTTAAGCGCCTGTCGTAGGTTCAAGTCACGATCTCATGGTCCGTGAATTCGAGCCCCACATCAGGCTCTGTGCTGGCAGCTCAGAGCCTGGAGCCTGCTTTGGATTCTGTGTCTCCCTCTCTCTGTCTCTCTAACCCTGCCCCACTCACGGTCTGTGTCTGCCTTTCAAAAATGAATAAACGTTAAAAAAAAAAAAAAGATAGTATCTGCTAGGTTTTGCCACTGCAAAGTCACTACTTTACCCTTTCTATATCCCTTTCAATACCCTTTCAATCCCAACTAGATATAACATGTCAGTCAATAAAAGAACATTTTGTTAAGGCCAGTATCCCAAAAATCATCCCTTAACTATGATTCTTCTGTTGTACCTCCTCCCCCAAAAAACACAAAAATTTAAAGTAACTTCATTTAGTGTTATATGTCTGGAAATTATTTCCAAACAATTTGGCAGAAGATGGGTGTTGTGGGTATGTGTGTGAGATGCATAAGGATACATGATATTCACTGTATTATTCTTTCAACTTTTCTGTAGGTTTTAAATAACAACCAAGTTTATTCAAGAACACCACATTGGCTTGAACCAATATACCAAATCAGTGGTTCACCTATGGTAGTGAAAATACATCATGACTAGGCATTTTACTCAGGGTTCTACCCAAAACTGAAATTTCCTATTTTTACATAAGAATACATTTCTTTCGGGGCGCCTGGGTGGCGCAGTCGGTTAAGCGTCCGACTTCAGCCAGGTCACGATCTCGCGGTCCGTGAGTTCGAGCCCCGCGTCGGGCTCTGGGCTGACGGCTCAGAGCCTGGAGCCTGTTTCGGATTCTGTGTCTCCCTCTCTCTCTGCCCCTCCCCCGTTCATCCACCACTCTGGACAATGTTCATGAAATGAGCAATAGGTAAATGAGTAAAGACTCTGAAGGATAGCCTGCAATGTTTATATTAGAAAATGTGTTCCCTGGGTCCTAGTGGGAATCTTAGCATTTTATCTTGCCATCTGTACAATCCAAGTACTGTATACATACCATTGTATTTATTAAGCACCTAGTAGTCATCAAATACTGCATAACAAACTATAGAGATACTGAATCAATGAGAACAGTCCTTGCACCCAAGGTATTCAATGTAATAAATTGTGAAATGCCGTCTTTACTAAAGGTATAAACAAAGTGCTGTGTGTCGTCAGAGAAGACAACTGAAATGAGACAGGTGTGAGTGGCCTGAAAACATGACTAATGTGGTCTTGTAAATAAAAACATCCCAGGTACAGCAGTCATTGATGACAGAAGCTATGGAGCACAAGAAGCACTGAGACAGACCTTATATTTTTTTTTTTAATTTTTTTTTCAACGTTTATTCATTTCTGCGACAGAGAGAGACAGAGCATGAACGGGGGAGGGGCAGAGAGAGAGGGAGACACAGAATCGGAAACAGGCTCCAGGCTCTGAGCCATCAGCCCAGAGCCCGACGTGGGGCTCGAACTCCTGGACTGCGAGATCGTGACCTGGCTGAAGTCGGACGCTTAACTGACTGCGCCACCCAGGCGCCCCTGGACCTTATATTTTTTAGCAGTGATAGATTACAGCCTCAATGGCAAACTTTTAAGTTCACTTACTGAACCACATAAGCTGGTGGGTTGGAATTCACCCTGCATAAAGGAGCCAGTGCAGTTAATAATCCTGGTTGCTGCTAAAACAGTCTTAAGAGGAGCTGCAAATGAGCCAGAAATAGCTGAGCTCAATCAGCTTACCTCCAGACAAACATCCTCATGAATGGGTAGGAAACAGTAGCGTAATAGTAGACTCGCCTTTGGGGCCAAAGGGAGGAGCATCCTGGCCATCTGATCCCAAATATCAGAAGTTACACAGTATAAAGTGAATCCCATTTTCAAGGGGAAGAACTAATCCTACAGAGAAAAGACTAGGGATGGTGGAAATAAGGGAAGGTTGATGTTTTAATAATAAGACAAAAGCAATACAAAGCTGTAGAGTAGAAAGGACACATTTGCTATTATTACCAAGATTGAAGTCCATACTTTGTGTCTCAAATGGAAAGCAAGCCAGGTAAATTTTTAAGCTTGCTTTTCAATAACTGAAAATGAAGATTATTTCTTGGAAGCCCTGGATAGCTTTTTCTCGGATATCATTCAACCAAAAAGAAAGGCCAGATTTTCTACATGCAGATTTACACATCCCTGGCCTTGGAAAAGGGGTTTTAATTTTAAGTGTAGCTAAAACAGCAATCTTCCTCAGGACCCAAGGGACCTTAAGCTGGGCAATAGCCCATTCGTAGACTAGTTCTGTGTATTCATAACATTCTGGAATAATATCAGATGGACCCAGGAAGCATATTTATAGTCCAGAAGTAAAGAGGAGTGAGGTGTGGGCAGGAGGACAAGTGTGAGTCATGCTTTATTCTGTCCCACTGAAAGCTCTCACAGAGCCTCCCCTCTGACTAAGCACAAGTGGCCTGACAGCTGACAGAACACAGATGCGGAACCAGGACCTTAGGAGGTGACAGTGCCTGACAACAATTATTAATTCCAAAGTGCCAGGTGAATGGACCATATAATATTGAATTAATGTTTGGAAAAACTGACCCTGCCTTTCCCTTTTGGATCCTTCTCTTCCTCCTCTGGACTCCCTCCTAAGGTTTTTGCCATAACTAACCATTTCAATAAAAATATCTAGATTTGAGGGGCATCTGGGTGACTTAGTCGGTTGGGCATCCAACTCTGGATTTGTTTGGCTTAGGTCATGATCCCAGCATCATGGGATCAAGCCCCACATCAGGTTCTGTCCTGAGCGTGGAGTCTGCTAAAGATTCTTTCTTTCTGCCCATCCCTGCCCCTTCCCCTCTCCTGCTCTCGTGCTCTCTCTCTAGACTTAAAAAACAAACAAAAAAACCCCTTAGATCTGAAAAGAATACGCATGGGAAAGAATACCATATTAGACATTAGGAGACCAAACTAGGTTCTAATCCCATTCACATCACAGACCTACTGTGTTATAGCAACACTTCAACATCTTTGGGCCTCAAGGGGGTAAAAAAAAGTAGGGGTAAGGTTGGGACTGACAGAGTATGAAGACTCATGTTTCCTCAAGAGGCAGACACTTGGCTCTCTTTAAGTGACCTCCTTCCTTGCCAGAGTCCCGGCACACCCCCACTGTGCTGACCTGAGAACCTGAGTGTTCCATCAAGACCACGGAAGCAGGTCCTTTTCCTTTTACTACAACTGAGGACTGCCCTCCCTCCTGCCCCAGCTCCCTTTCTCTCCCTGTTGCCTAGACCCCTAGCGATTTCCTTTTCTTCTTCAGAAATCTAGCTGCCGTTCTCCTCATTACCACTGGCAGCTTCACCCACAACCTCAGGAAGGGATCTGTTACCCTGATGCCAAGAAGCACAGTCCCTGCTCTAGCTGCCTCCTTGGTCTTCCCTCCTACTACGCCTCTTCTCACTGTCACTTGCCATTCCCAGCCCAAAGCCATCACATTTGACAGAAAAAGAGATTCCCACTGCCCAGGGAAGGAGTTTGGAAGAATGAAGGAAAAGAAAATAAGAATCTCTTCCTGTTGCTAGGGTTTTTATTGTGGGGAATATAGTTTCTGGGATACAGCAGGAGCTCAAATATGTGTTCTAATTAAAACTCTTTTTTTTTTTTTTTTTTGAAAGACAGAGCACGAGCAGGGGAGGAAGAGAGAGAGAAAGATAGAATCCAAGCAGGCTCTGCAGGGTCAGCACAGAGCCTGATGTGGGGCTTGAACTCACGAAACCATGAGATCGTGACACTTAACCGACTGAACCCCCCCCCCTCCTCCCAGATGCCCCTCTAATCAAAACTCTTAAAGCTTTCCCCAGAGTTATGTTACTATAGACAGGGCAGTTCTGCATGTCATGTGCATATGATGGGGTAAATAGCTTTTCTGCAGGCTGGCCTAGAAACCTCCCTCTCAGGAGGCGTTATTTCCATGGGAAAATGCCATCTGAGTGGCAAACAATTGACTTACTAATAACCACTAAAAATTACCTTTCCTTCCTCAGGAATGGCTTTTAAAACAGGGAAATTAAAAAAATGTGCTAGGCAAAGAAGAAATCAAAGAGCAGCTATCTCTGGCTATAACATAATTCTATGTACAGATATTATCACAGAGAGACATGCATATGAATAACACACACATATAAATATGTAAGGAGTAAGCTGGTAAAAGTACACTATCTAACTGGTCACACACACACACAACCACTCTCATCTTTGTTAACAACATGGGCTTGGCCTCTGTAGACTACTCCCAAAAGCAGACATATTCTGTGAGTAGGGGCTTTTAGCAATGGTAAGAAGAAATCCAAGTGTAGACACCACAGGGTAACACACGAGAATCGGGAGCAAGAATTTGGAAAAGAAGATACATAGACGAGCTTAATATGGACAGGATATCCCTCCAAAATATCCAAATAAGATCCTTCTTAGAGAATAAATGCATGGAAGCTCCTATTGATTGTTTGAAAGGTAGGTAACAGATACCCTGCCTTAGAGAGGATGTTTCATGGTGCTCTGAGTTGGGGAAAGACAGAGGCAGGAATCAGGAAGGTATGTGTAGGGGGCAAGCAAATCAGAAAACCTGTGGCTAAAGCTTCCAAAGGGGCTCTGTCTGCTGAGCTGAAGTGCACAGATCTGATGGGTCGAGTCACAAGGCACCAAGGGTTCTGGCACAGGAAGGTGAAATGAACAGTACAAGTTGGTGGGTCTGTCAGGGCATTCCACACAGAAGCCATCACTGACCTGACAGGTACCAAAATACCTGGTACTTCAACACCATCTTCATACTGAAATTTAAACCAAAGAAGGATGCCTCAAAACAAGGTGGAGTGGGAAGGGAACGTTGCTTCTGTCCAGACTGACTCACCTCATAAAAGAGTCCCTCTGGGAACTGCTGGAAACACTGGGCACACACGAAGCACTGCTCGTGGTACAGCTCCCCGTTACTGTTTACTATCTTCTCGGCGGGCGCAAAGCCCCCCTTGCAGCGCTCACAAGTGGCATTGGCCAGGGCATTGGCCATGTTGCTGTAATACACAAAGGACAGAAGTCACAGACTGTCTACCTTTTCTTAAACTTAAGACTAAACAACATAAAGGACTAAGGAGAAAATTCTATCTGATGACAAAAATCATATTGTAGCCCTAAAGCCCAATTTCTTGTGTCTTAAGTACTCAACTCAAACTGTTCCCATCTCTTTGCCTTAGCATCTTAGGTGCTGAAAGGGTCTCTTGCTTGGAATCTGTTTTTAATATTGCTGACATTCCTCTTGCTAAATATACTAGAAGAGGGTGCCTGCTACCTGTGAGGAACTAGGGATAGAGATTAAAGTCAAGAGTTGCTCTTGAGAGAGCTTGAGGTTATAGCTTCCTAAGTAGCCTAATTAAAATATCCACAGGTCACCATCTCAAAGCCAGTTTTTCACCCTTCTGAGAACAGAATCTAAATTGCATGTCAACTGAATGCCATGTCCTAGGTTGGACACAGGTTATCCCTTTGGTTATATCCTGCTGAAGGCAACTGCTACAGTAGCTCTTAAAACCAGCCAGAGTGCCATGGTCCTGTAATCTCATTAGTAAGACAAGTATTAGGCACTGGCATTATAAGCTGTATCTTAAAGTCACAGCATTGTCCATTATGAAGATCATCTTACAGACATGACACAGGGAGGTTCAGGGAGGTGGAATGACCTATCCAACTTCACAAGTCTCAGTAGTTAATGGAAGATACAGGACCAGAATCCAGGGCCCCCATTCATAAAATCACAACCAGATTATAGTATCAATTTCAAAAATCCGAGAATATGTGATAGGGACACCATCACGCTTTACATATTAGGCAGTCAAGTGACCATTGAAGAGCCCAGTGACCCGATCTCTCCCTTGCAGTCATTCCACTGTACCTTGAAGCATATAGGAAGAACTCTATAAAGGGTTCCAGGCCCTATTTAACCACTGTGTATTTGGGGGCGTCTGGCTGGCTCAGTCGAAGGAGCATGCAACTCTTGATCGTGGGGTCGTGAGTTCAAGCCCCATGTTGGGGGTAGAGATTACTTAAATAAACTTAAAAAAAAAAAAAAAAAAAAAAAAAGAAAGAACTGCTTTGTTAAACATGGCCTGTTTAAAAGGCCATGAAGTGAGGAATGTCCCCTAACCAGAGCAGTCATTGGCCAAACTGTCCTTCACAATTTGGCAAGTTTATTTTCAGACGCCCACTCAGAGCACAAGCTCTACCTGTGTGTCTAGGTCCCTGGTGCAGCCTGTAACCACCCAGATATTGAATCAATCCACCTGGTAAAGATACTGCTGACATTCTCCAGAATCTTCACAACCACCCTGTGAGGCAGGTGAGGAGTCTTCATTTTACAGATTAATAACTGCCTTGTCCCCAGCCGGTTTCTAAGTTTTGCCGTTTCCTTAGCAGAAAGGCTCACACATATGTTGTCTCACCTCCACCCCACCCCAGTGGAAGAAAACTTTGCCTTCTTGCCCCAAATGTTTCAAAGAACAGTATTCCTATTTTGTAGCCTTGCCATAACTAACCTCATGCAGAAGTACCATGTTCATAACCGCATACCAATCAAAACTCAACTTTACTTAATAGGCTTAAATATAAAATTAAAATATCACAAAAAAAGAAAACAAAGGAGCGCCTGGGTGGCTGTGTCAGTTAGGTAACTGACTTGGTTTCGGCTCAAGTCATGATCTCATGGGTTTGTGAGATTGAGCCCCACATGGGGCTCTGCACTAAGCATCATATAGCCTGATTGGGATTGTCTCTCCCCCTTCTCTCTGACCCTCCCTGCTTGCATGCAACTTGCATACACTCTCTCAATAAATAGATAGATAGATAGATAAATAAATAAAATCTAAAAAAAGGAAAAGGAAAAAAAAGGAAGACAGGCAGCCTCACGCTTGGCAAACCTAGCCTAAGTTATCACATTAAAACAAATTTTCTACTTTGTCATTTCAAAATTACTGTTGGTTAGGGAGAAAAATCTTCACATTCCCTTCTTACTGGGTTTTGCCGTAAGCTAGATGAATTACAACAATTTTAATAAAACCCTTGGAAAGGTTTGTGTTTCTCCTTTCTCCTGACCAAAATCCACAGGTGTCCCTAGATGAAGGATGGGAAGCCCGCACCTGCCCCCATAATTCTTTTTTTTTTTTAAATTTTTTTTTTCAACGTTTATTTATTTTTGGGACAGAGAGAGACAGAGCATGAACGGGGGAGGGGCAGAGAGAGAGGGAGACACAGAATCGGAAACAGGCTCCAGGCTCTGAGCCATCAGCCCAGAGCCCGACGCGGGGCTCGAACCCACGGACCGCGAGATCGTGACCTGGCTGAAGTCGGACGCTTAACCGACTGCGCCACCCAGGCGCCCCTTTTTAATTTTTTTTTTCAACGTTTATTTTTTTTTTTTGCCCCCATAATTCTTAATATCGTTTTGAAGATAAAATTTAAAAAAGTATGTAACTTTGGAAGCCGGAAGATGCTACTCAAAGACAAAGTGTCATTATTAATTTTCAACCCCCTCAAAAGGTTCACTCAATCCTTATAATTTTAAAAGAACTCCTAAAAAGCAGGAAGTGCAGAACATTCTGGAATGTCCTGATCCATTATTATCTTGGTTCTTAAAGTACAGGGGTCACTGTGACCCTTTTAGGGGTTCAAAAACTCCCTTCCTTTTTCAACTATATCTCTATGGGAAGCATATTTTCTTTATATACATTAGCGACATATTACAATAGGATAAACACAGAATCAGAACTGAGAAACTGTCTTAGACAGTCACTAATGAGATTTGCAAAAATGTAATTCAATGCCATTTTTCCCACCAAGCTTTTGTCATTTGAAAACAGTTATTTTTCATAAAAATTAATATCAATAGTTATTAGTATTAACATGTAATGGGTTTATTGTTTTTTAAATTAATAAATATTTTGTTCTCAGTTTTATTTTCAAAAACAGTAAATATCGCTAAGCAAAAGCTCTTTGGGGACTTCAATAATTTTTTTTTCATTTTTTAAAACATTTTATTTATTTTTGCAAGACAGAGAGATAGAGCATGGACAGAAGAGGGGCAGAGAGAGAAGGGGACACAGAATCTGAAGCAGGCTCCAGGCTCCAAGCTGTCCACACAGAGCCCGATGTGGGGCTTGAACCCATGAACTATGAGATCCTGACCTGAGCCGATGCTTAACTGACTGAGCCACCCAGGAGCCCTGGGGGACATCAACAATTTTTAAGAGTGTAAAGCAGTCCCAAGACCAAAGCATTTATCACCTGTTTACTACTCATTATACTAAACACTGGTTATAGTCAAATTCAAATACTCAAATAGAATTAGAAAATAGGTTGACACATTATAAAAACAAATACATAGTTTCCTACACACAGGAAAAATAAACTAGTTTTTAGCCATAATGTAATGCGTATTTTTGAAGAGGTATTCCTTTTAATAACAAGCAGGATAAGGAAACAGAACCTTAGAGGAAACTTTCAGAACAAAAGCCCCAATAATCTCACCCAGCTACTGAACTGTTTACATTTCCTTTTCCTCTCCTGTTTTTGACCCTCTGGCAGTATTTATTCAATGGACTATTTTTTAGAGCAGTTTTTGGTTCACAGCAAGACTGAGCAGAAAGTGTAAAGAGTTCTCATTTACCCCCACATCCGAGCCCCCCTGCTACCAACACCCCCACCAAAGAGGTAGTACTTTGTTACAACTAATGAACCTACAGTGACCTGTGTAATTTTTTTTTTTACAGTTGGTTTTATCTTTAACACTACTATGATAGAAGTTACATTTTATTTTATTATTTTTTTTTAGTTCAGGTATTTATTTATTTATTTACTTACTTATTTATTCAATTTAAATTCAAGTTAGTTAACATATCATGTAGCATTGGTTTCAGGAGTAGAACCCAGTGACTCATCACTTAAAACATACAACACTGAGTGCTCATCCCAACAAGTGCCCTCCATTATTAATCCCCATCACCCATTTGACACATCCTCTCACCTCCTTCCCCCCCAGCAACCCTCAGTTTGTTCTATTTCAGAGTCTCTTATGGTTTGCCTCCCTCTCTACATTTTAAAAGTTATGAATGATAGTTATAACTGTCATCAGGCTAGAAATAATTACTTGGCTGATTTTTCAAAAAGGGATATGCTAAGAAGTGTTGATGACAAAGAATATATATGTTGGGAAGTATCTTTACATCTGGCCAGTCATAACTGATTGTTATGTCAGTCATAACTGACCCACTTCCACAAATTAGCTGCACACAGAAAACTTGGCATCATTGAGCTTTTTGTTTTTCTTTTGTCTTATTGATCAAAGTATGGGAAAAAATTTTCTGGCATTAAAATGAAAAACAAATTTGTAAATCCAAAAAGCATCTTGAAAGTCCATGAAGCATTTTGGTTACAGTATAATTATAATTGCCCAATTATACTTAAACAGAACTCTTTATAAGTTGTGAAAAATAAATGACATCTGTTACAATACCACACAGAATGGGTTCATGGAAATAGAGAATCAGGTCAGTTAAATTCTCCTTAACTCTTAATTGACAAATTGGGAATCTGCAATAATTCGAAGCTTCCGACTTTACATGAGTTGGTCTAAATAATACTAAATACTAAATACTACTCTGCACTATTTTTTTTATTGTTTGCTAAAAATCCACTTAATGACATGAATTAGACTAACTTTTTAGGGTTAATGGCACACACACACACACACACACGCAGGTTACACAACATTCTTATTTATTCATTCAGTCCCTTTGAGACAGTATTAAACCCAGTTAGCCTACTTCAAACTGCTTTGTTAAACCTAACAAAAATGTGCATCCTTATTAACAGTCTGTAGTTCAGTTTTTACTGTTCCCCTCAACTGACCCCTTATGTGTAGGAAGTTTTAGAGCATACAATTTTTCTATTATAAATCCTGACAGCAAAAACTCTAAATCTCCCTCTTGGACTACATAATGAAAATGTACTATTATCAGGAACCTACTGAAGACAAAGATGTTACTACTATTACTTTAAAGGCAGCATTTTTGTTCACTTCTGCATTTCATCTGGTGGATTCTTGCCTGCTGGAATACACCCCCCGCCCCTCCATCACCCTAGAATGCCCCTGCTAAAAGTCGAGGAAATAAAACCATCAATAGCTAGTGAACTTGAAACCCAAGATGGCTAGATCTGGAAGAGGGGAGCTCCTCTCCCGGGAGAAGAGACACTTACAATTTCGCATAAAAGTCACAAAACTCCTTGTAGACCTTTACGTCACTGTGCCTGCGCTGCAGTTTGGACACAGCCCTCTCGTCTTCATTGCCATTAGCCTGGTGGACATTGTTAAGAGCTGTCTGGGGGATTTCTTCATTCTCTGGGATAACATAGGGGCACACCCTGCCCGGGAACGCCATCCGTGGGTGCTTGAGAGCCCCAAACCCAGGGCAGAGAGTAGCAGGCAGGGACAGAGAAACAATTTCCAGGCCTCCCCTGTTTCCCTGCCAGGGTCACTCCCACTGTTCCCACAGACGTCAGTCCTGCGTTTGCCAGGATCATTCCTAGCCTTTCATGTTAAGAGCTCCAGCAGCAAAGCAGTCAGTTGGTGTGCCAGTCCTGATTTACTGAGGCATTTCTGGAAGCTCCAGAAAACATTCCACAAAGCAGTGAGAGTCTTTGCTGGAACAATCTTCCTGATGGACTGTGTCTGTAAACACTGCTATGGAAGGAAGAACTGCTTGGCAGGGTCCGAGAGAAACAAACATCCACGTGTCCTGGGGAATCTGTCACCAGGCATCAACCACACAAACACTGTGCTTCTTGTAAAACATCCCCAGATATTCTGTTCCTAAACAAGCTCCCCACTGAGGCTAAATGCAGCCGGCACACTCTATGAGGCGCTGTAATGCCCAGGGCATGCTTGCCAGCTATACCCACGGTTGCCGTCCCCCAGGGGTCTGTGAGTCCCTGAGATTTGGAGCTACTTTGGACTTTCATTGATCCTAGTACTTGGTACATAGCAAGAGTTGGATGATGTGTTCAATGAATGGACATAAGAAGAAATAGGAAAGCGCTAGAGTCTAGTTAGAAACCCCCAGCTAATCCTAGCCTTTATCATGGTTAAGGATGCTGCTGGCATTCCTGCAATAGTCAGTCTACAGTACTGTTGTCTTGTAGCAGTGCTACAGATGAGGAGGGTGATGATGAAGGCCACAGGCAATAGAGGGGCTCAGAACCTTTCTCCAGGCCCATTCCTCTGAGACCTAGGTGCTCGATTTCTCACCAAAATCAAGGTACCAAGGGCCACTTAAGAAAGAAAAGCTAGAGAGTAGGTAAAAGGTACACTGACCAACAGAGGTCACACTAGAGATGAGAGCCATGAAAGCATCAGCAAACAGACACAATGCAGCTGAGACTCCCAAATAATAACAATAAATAATGCTACCTAAGCATTTGTAAGTACTATCACATCCCTATAAGGTAGGTATTATTTACAGATGAGGAACTGAGGTGTAAGGAGGCTGAATAACTAATTAAGTACATGGGAGAGTCAAGATTTAAATGTAAGTAACCTTATTCTAGGGCCTATGTTGTCAACTACCATGTCAGAAAATAGTTAAACATATTCACTGGAGAGCAAAATAAGTTAATTACAAAAGATTTAAGTAGTGAACACAAAATGAGACAGAAGCAGAAAATGAGATCTAGTCTTCCCACTTTGAAACCCAATGAATGATCTCAGAGCACAGGTCAGAAATTTAAAGGCTGTGGGGCTATGGATCCTGCTCAGACCCCAAGCCTGTGGCTGATGGAGTAAGAGACTCACCCTTTTTTTTTAAGTAGGCTCCACACCCAGTGCTGAGCCCAGTGCAGGGCTTGAACTCATGACTCTGAGATCAAGACAGCTGATATCAAGAGTCGGACGCTTAACCAACTGAGCCATGCAGGCATCCCAAGACTCACCATTTTTAAAGAGGAAAGAAACAGCCTTATGGTTTAACATGTATAAAACATATAAAGTTTTTTAACTTTATCATGACCACGTAGAATAGAGGAGGCAGCAGGCATGAACACACACACACACACACACACACACACACACACACACACACACACTGACTCTGAGACTAGAAACACAATGCCACTGAGTTAGGGGTAGCACAATAGAAAGAGGGGAACCATGCCTCCTGCCCAGAATACTTCTTCTCTCTTAAACTGATTATCTTCTATTTACATTTCTACTTTATCTAAGACACTCCTAAAAATCAATCTTTATTTTAATTATCTTTAAACTTTTCTATCTCAGTTTACTGGGACCAAGTCCACAAACATGGGGATTTGCCCTCCTCAGGGAAAAGATTCTAGACAATGGCTTAATGGTCAAAAAGAAGGAAGGGGGCCCCACTGCCACTGTGTTCTCAACAATAATCCTTCCACTTTGCCAATTTACAGCTAGTGTTCAGAGTTAATTTTTCCTGCATAAATAATAAATAAGAATCACCTTCTTAGCTTAAGAGACCTGCTTAAAGTCACACAGCTAGCAAGTGGAAGATCCCAAATTCAAATCCAGACATCTGCCTCCAATGTTTCTGTTTGTTTTTTACCTCTACATAAAATCTATCCTGTGGCCAACAGACACATGAAAAGGTCTCAACATCACTAATAATAAGGGAAAGGCAAATCAAAATCATAGTATCACCTCATACCTGTCAGAAATGGCTAAAACAAAAGACACAAACACTAATTTGAAAAGACATATGCACACCTATGTTCACTGCAGCATTATTTACAATAGCCAAGATATGGACATATCCTAAGTGTCCACTGACAGATGAATGGATAAAGAAGATGTGGTATAAAAAAAAAAAAGATGTGGTATATATACACATACACACAGTGGAATATTACTCAGCCATAAAAAAGAATGAGATCTTGCCATTTGCAACAACCTGGATGGACCTAGGGGGTATTATGCTAAGTGAAATAAGTCAGGGAAAGAGAAATACTATATAATGTCATTTATAAGTGGAATCTAAAGCCAAACAAAACAAATGAACAAAGAAACAAAAGCAGAAACAGACCCATAAATATAGAGAACTGATGGTTGCTAAATGCGAGTGTGTGTGTGTGTGTGTGTGTGTGTGTTGGGAAGGGGGATGGGTAAAAAAGGTGAAGAGGAGTGGGAGGTACAGGCTTCCAGTTACGGGACAAGTAAGTCACAGGGATAAAAGCTATGACACAGGGAATATAGTCAGTGGTATTATAATAGTCTTATATAGTAACAAATGGTAGCTATGCTTGTGGTGAGCATAGCACAGCTTATAGAGTTGTAAAATCATGATGCTGTACACCCAGAACTAATAGTGTCAACTATACTTCATGAAAAAAAATATATATACACACATACACATACCAAAACCAAAATACATAACCTAAAACTATAAAACTTCTTGCAAAAAATATAGGACAGTTATATAACAAATTTAAAACAATTTTTGTTCATGTTTTTATTTTAGGAGTAGGGGGAATGGGGGAGGGGCAGAGAGACAAGGAGAGAGAGAATCCTAAGCAGTCTCTGCACTCTCAGTGGCCTCAATCTCACAAACCATGAGATTATGACGTGAGCGGAAATCAAGAGCTGGATGCTTAACCTACTAAGCCAAAAAAATTTTTTTAAACAGGGGCACCTGGGTGGCTCATTTGGTTGAGCATCTGACTCTTGATACTGGCTCAGGTCATGATCTCACTGTTGTGGGATGGAGCCCTGCGTTGGGGTCTGTGCTGAGTGTGGAGCCTGCTTGGGATTTTCTCTCTCCCTCTCTCTCTGCCCCTCCTCTGCTCGCTCTCTTGCTCTCTCTCTCTCAAAAATAAGCAAACAAAATTTTTTTTTAATGAAATAAAATAAAATCTATACTGTATGGGTGTTTCCAGTAACTGATACACTTGTCTATGTCTAAGGAAAGAAGCTATTAGGCTCTATTTGTTTGTTTTGTTTACAATATGCTTACAGTTCTTAATCCATACTAGGTACAATGATTGCAAATCATGTTCATTTTCCTACCAGAAACATCATTAAATCCAAATATTCTGCCCACTGAGGTAATGCTATTGGCGATACCAACCTAAGGGCAGGACGCTGAAGTAGGTCCTAGAGATTTCCCTTTCCTTCAGTTCAGTTTCCAGGGGATCTGAGGATAAGTTTTCTATGTTCTTTTCATCTCACTTCACATGCTAGAAATGTAACCTCCAGGAATGTAGGAACTTTGTTTTGTTCATGCCTATGCCCCAGCATCATCAAGAGAAGCCACCACTTGGCAGGTGTGTGTAATTATTTGTTGAATGAACTAGGGTTAATAATCCATCTACTTCATCTGGCAAACCATGAAAACAGTGAGACAGCAATTTAGCTACCAGTCTGCTAAACACTTTGAGTCAGAAGATCTAAAAATGTAACTATCTTACTAACTTCATAAGAATTAATCTTATATTTACTAGACAGAAAAGCAGAACTATGAAAAAAAGCTAATAGTGAACACACACTATTCGGTTCATGAACAGACACAATGAAGACTCTTACCTGCTAAGGAATTAAAGATAATGTGGAAGATCTGCCATCAAGTTCTAACTTTTTATTTTGAAATAATTATAGTCACAGGAAGTTATAAAAAATTGTACAGAGAAGTTCTTCATACCCTTTACGTAGTTTCTCCAATGGTTACACTGTATGTGATTACAGTCCAATGTCAAAACCAGGAATCTGACATTAACACAAGGTGTGTATATACATTACATATATGTCATTTTACCACCTGGGCACTGCCCCTAATCAAGAAACAGCACAATACTGTCACCACAAAGATCTCTTTCATATTATCTCTGATAGTCACACTCACCTTCTCCACACCTTGCCATCTCTTAGCCCTTGGGAACCACTAGTCTGTTTTTCATTTATGTCATTATAATTTGGAGAATGTTACTGCTATGGACTGAATGTTTGTGTCCCTCCAAAATTCATATGTTGAAAGCCTAATCCCAAATGTGATGGTATTTGGAGGTGGGACCTTTGGGAGGTAATCAGGATTAAATTAGGTCAAGAGAAGAGCATTAATCCCTCATTATGGGATTAACATCCTTTAAGAAGAGGAAGAGACACAGATCATTCTTTATCTGCCATGTGAGGATATAGCCAAAGGTAGCAAAATGTGGATGGCTCAGTCAGTTGAGCATCTGACTTTGGCTTAGGTCATGATCTCATGGTTCGTGAGTTCAAGCCCAGTGTCAGGCTCTGCTGACAGCTCAGAGCCTGGAGCCTGCTTCAGATTCTGTATCTCCCTCTCTGTCTGCTCCTCCTCAACTTAAGCTCTCTTTGTCTCTCAAAAATAAATAAACATTAAAAAAAAAATTGTGGATCCTCACCAGACACTGGATCTGTTGGTACCTTGATCTTGAACTTCGCAGTCTCCAGACCCTTGGGAAATAAATATTTGTTGTTTAAGCCA